CTTCATGTATTCACTTTCATGGAATCTGGAGTGCTGATGGCCATGGCCTTTGACCGCTACGTGTCCATCTGTGACCCTCTCAGGTACACCACCATTCTCACTAACTCCAGAATCATTCAGATGTGTCTAATAATCAGTGCGCGCAGCGTAATATTGATAGCAACTGGACTCTTCCTCCTTAAGCGTCTTTCTTTCTGCAAAAAGAATCTCCTTACCCACTCCTATTGCTACCATGCAGATGTGATTAAATTAGCATGCTCAGATACTCGAGTCAACAGCATCTATGGATTAAGTGGTCTCATCCTGACTACAGGAATAGATACACCAGGTATTGTTGTTTCTTATATCTTGATCATTCGCTCTGTTCTCAGAATTGCCTCCCCTGAAGAACGACACAAGACCTTTAGCACCTGTGTCTCCCACATTGGAGCAGTTGCTACTTTCTACATCCCCCTGATAAGTCTGTCCTTGGTGCATCGCTATGCTCATTCAGCCCCCAAAGTGGTCCATTCAATGATGTCCAATATATACCTGATTTTGCCCCCTGTGATCAACCCCATCATCTATAGTGTAAAGACAAAACAGATTCGCAAAGCTATACTCAGTATTCTACCTACAAATAAACTGTGATGATTAAATTAGAGAAAAACCTGATAAGTGACTTTCACTAAAGAACAGCATCCTTGGTAGTTCACTGCCTATCAATACTTTTTTCAAAAACTGAAAATGTTGATGATGTAAAACATAAGGAAGCTTGGGACAATTCATAAGCTTTTTCTAGAATAGATACCTTTGGATTCTGTTAAATCCATGAGCATTTAACATTTACAAGGAAAAAAACACATGTCAATACACCCATATTATTCATAAATTTTCAGAGGATATAAAAAGCTTTGAAGGACTTATTATGGTGATTTCAACCAACAATGCACCAGGTATATAATTCATGATCCATGGACTATAAGCAGTTATACATAAGTAGACCTAAATTTTGGTTCTTGGAAAAGGACTCACAATAACTAATCAATTCAAGAGTTAGGAAGATGCTTAAAATCAGATGCATAAAATGGTACCATAATTCATCAAAAAAATAAAGATGAAAAATTGATGAATGCCACATCAATTTGATTTCAGGGCCTCCCCTGGTGGGAGGCAGTTGAGCGCTGGGCTGCGAAGCTGCTGACAGCCTCTGCAGCGCCTGTAGGGTCCCAGGCCTCAGACAAGGGTCCCACATGGCGCGCAGACCTCTCCTGCCGCCCGCTGCTCCCCTCAGCAGTGTACTTCGGTCCTTCTGCCTGCTCTGCTCCCCGCTCTGGCTCTGGTGAATTCTCTCACCCTCCCGCGCTTCTGACTATACCCAGTGCTTGTATAAATAAATAAATAAATAAATCTTTAAAAAAAAAATTTGATTTCAGATGAAAAGGTGGTAATAGATAAGGACGTTTTGTAACAGGGTGTCCCCTAGGAAGGGGGGAAGTTCCATGTTCCCTACCCCACCCTACTGTGTGGAGCTGAGCTGGGAGGAGAAGAAGCTGAGAGGAGACTGCAGAAGGAAGGAAGACAGCTGGAGAGCAAGAAGGAGACCTGGAGGAGGCACATGGAGCAGAAAGACATGTGAAAAAGCAATACTTGCTTTTTGATCCTAGACTGGTTGTAACAGATGTGGCTGAGAGACCCATGGGAAGGTTAACAATGACAGCTTTTATTGTGATTTTGCTCCTTCTGTCTCAGACATACTGAGTGAATGGGTAACATTGGGTGCTTGATTTGGAAACTATAGTCTTTCCTTTTCTGTGTTGCACACTAATGTATTAAATATCTTTTCCACACCAGAGTATGTTTTGTCTTGATGAAGCATATGGCAGAATCTATTTCAAACAGGAAGATTTGGGGGTTCTGGGGTGCCCCTACCTTGCCCTATAAAAATTTCATGCATCTAAGAGGGGAGGTAGAATGGTAGGGTGAACAATGAAGGGTGGGAGAGTATATGGACTGTGGCTGTGGACTGTGGGTGCTTTAGTGTTGGAGAGCTACAATCACCACATCTAAGCGAAAATCCTATACTGTCAAAATTAAAAATATATAAAACAATGGCACCTCATTTCAAAAAATTAATTTAAAAATTCTGAGCCTATTCTACTGTCTCAAGTTGAGAAATGAACCATTCTTCATTGTTTCCTCTGTAAACTGTATTGACTAATGTTAGCAGGTGGTTAAACACTCACAGTTCATTCTCTAATTCACAAGCTCTTCCTATCCCCAATAAGTGAACTGTGGCTCCTTATATTTTCCTTAGTCATCCCATTGTTATCATGGATATTATTATATACAATATGTTAAACAAGTAGTTTATGAAAAAAGGGTAATATATGGAATTCCAATTTGAAGACTATTGGAAGATCCAAACTCCATACCAAATAATGATGACTAAATCACATATGAGAATTTTAGGTCAAAGAATTCTTCAATGTAGATTTTAAAACTTTATGAGTCTATATTTTAAACAAATTTATTAAGTAATCAACCTAATCAAGACCAAATAGAATTGATTAAATTATTTCATTTATGTGATCCTCATTTCAGGACTATGAAATACACCTTCAAGGGCAATGGATAAATTAATTCAATAAAATTATTGACCACTAAGTTCATGTCAGGCAATGTGTTCATTAGTACATGTGGGGTAACTTAATATACTGTTTATTTTTACCTGAGATATTTTAACTGCCGGGGTCCAGTACCAGTGAACAGGTTGAGAGAGGAATCAGAAAGAACCGAGGAATAAAGAAATGACAGACACAAAATAGAGTTTAGGAGAAGCAGGACCTAGGTGACGCCAGGCTCTCATTCCACGCTCAAGTGTCCCAAGTGCCCAGTGCAAATCATTTTTATTGATACAAACCACCCTCCTCCCCTCTATGTTAGTTATTAAACAATGAATCATTCTCTTGGTATTTTTTAAATAAACTGGCACATTTATTTGAATTAAAATAGACTTAATAATAGAAAACAAAATTTTTCCTCAGACTTCTAGACACAGAAATTGGATATTTATATTATGAATCTTTGGGTCTCTTAGTATTTAGCCTTGTCCGGGCACACATTCACCACCAAGTCTCTGTGCTATCAGATTATTCTGTTTCTTTTCTAATCTAGTTTGTCCCCCAAACATCATTTCTCAAACGCAAAAAATAACATCCTGATCTGTACACGGGCCAGTCCTCTGACCTCAGACCAGTATTGATCAGTCTTAGCCATGGCCAGTTTTCCAGCCGTGACCTTGAGGTTTTCCTGGTCTCAGCACTTTATGCCTTAGGGGTCTCCAACATTAACTAAAGCTAAAGTAGATAATGTACCTGAAATTACTTGGAAAAACATTAATCACTATAAGATATTAACATAATCTTGAGGCCCAAAGTATTTTT